GATGCGAGCGCAGAAGCCGGAGTTGGGGGAGCCCAGCGCGCCAGCCCGCCCGGGGCTGCGGGGCCAGCGGCGGAGGAGGACGAGGAGGCGGCCGAGGAGGTGGGGAAAGGGGCCGAGGCCGAGGCCGCCGACAACTCGGAGCAGCTGAGCAGCAGCAGCACGTCCACCAGATCCGCCAAGTCGGGCTCAGAAGCGTCGGCTTCGGCCTCCAAGGAGGCCCTGCAGGCCATGGTCCTGAGCCTGCCCCGCTACCACTGCGAGAACCCGGCCAGCTGCAGGTCCCCCACGCTCTCAACCGACACCCTGCGCAAGCGTCTGTACCGCATCGGCCTCAACCTCTTCAACATGTGAGTCCCCAGGGGGAGGCGGGGCCGGGCACCTGTCCTTGCAGCGGAGCAGTGCCGGTAACCGAGCGGGTCGTCCCAGTGCCCTCCTAGTGTCCACTGTGGCCTCTGCTCCAGCCTGCTGCTTGAGGGACTGTGTAGGAACACACGTTTTATTTGTAATTGCTACGAACTTATTTTAAGGATTAGGGACAAAACGCAGCACACCGGTGCTTCAACCACTGGGAGATGAAGCGAGGCTTTGAGAAGCAGGAGAAATTTAAAGAAACCCTGGCTTCAGTGAGTAATAGTACAGGTAGTAAAAGCATTGCGCAGAAGTCGTTCAGGTAGGACACGAAGGCAGGGAAACAGCATCATCCCATGGGGTTTACGACACACAGAGAAGAGACAATGGGCAAAGGAGAAAAGGAGGCGAGGGTGGGGCGAGCAGAGACCCAGCGTGAGGAACACAGGTGGAGAGCGGGAGACAGATTAGAGGCATCAGGGAGCGGCGAGGGGAGACAAGGAGGCGGGTACGAGGCAGGCAGAGGTGGCGCACAAGAGAACAGGGCATGGGAGCAGAGACGTGAGCGGCCACCACAGCTCAGGGCACCCGGCCAGACTTTTCCTTGCAGCCAGGAGGTACACATACAGCGGGTGGCAAACCGAGCCAACACGCAGGCCCCTCCTGTGGGAATGTCGAGTACCCGAGGCATTCATCTCCACCCTCCACCACCTCTTCCTTTACAGCCCTGAGCTGGGAATCACAGCACCCCTCCCGCTTAATCAGTGAGGACTGAGCGGAAACCACTCATATGTGTGTTCATTTATTCATTTAACCGATTTTTGGAGTGCCGGCACCTAACCACATAGATGAGCGAGACACGTTCCCTGGTCTCAAGAAGCTTATATGCCAACTCACCTGCTCCTAGCTCAGCGGACATAAAACATTTGCAAACTTGCTAACAATATCTAGAGATAGTGTTATTATGGCATTTTACAGAAAAGGGAACAGGCTCACGCAAGGAAGGTGAGTTGCGTGCGTGCTGTGAAACAGTTATTCAGTAAGTGGCAGAGCCGGGGGAAGGCAGATCTGATTCCCTAATCCCTTGCTCGCTCTTCTGTGTCAGGCTGCGACCCCGTGAGCGCAGCCCCAGCCTCACTTCTGCAGGTGCACACAGACACTTGGATTCCATAAGACACAGTGGTTCCCAAATTATGTGTACTGAAGGGCCAGTTTGGGTTTTCACCCAATATGTTGTGGGCTGATACGATGGTAAAATATGACAAAAAGGAAGGGCCAGAAAAAGTCGCATGCTTGGTTGTCCTGAAAATGTCAAAGTGCTATAAAAGGGTCTAAAGGCTTACTTACCCTCTATTTCTGTACTTACGTCCTTCTGGGCCAGTCAGATCTAGCTCGGGGAGCAGCGTGGGTCTGCCACCAAGCTGGGAGCTCATCTGCCTTAAGACAAAGCACCCACGCCCACACCCACACCCACACCCACGTATAGAGACGCAAGCCTGTGAAAGTAAACCCTGAGAGCAGGATTCTTGGGTCCACCACGGGCCGGACCGGGGAGAAGGATGCGGTGGGATAGCTCCCCTCCATTTCCCAGTCCCCCTGCCCTCTGGGTCCCAGTGTGGGTGCTGAGACAGCAGGATACTGGTGGGAGGAAGAGCCTTCTTGGCAGGGCTTGGGGACCTCAGGGTCCGATCCAGTGGGACTGAGGCAGAAAGACAGAAGGGACATCTCTCCACTCGCTATGGAATCCACTTTGGCCAGACCTCCTCAGCCCTGCACCCTCTTCACTCCCGTGTGGGAAGGTTCTGGAGAGCCTGGGGAGAGGGGCTTCGGAAGGGGAAGGGGAGACCCTCCGCAGTGGAAGGAATGCTGGCATTCCCTGGGAATTCTTCCCAAGGACCTCCAGGCACTTTTGTGTGTTTCCTGGGCTGTAAGAAAGAAGGGAAGGGAGTCATGGGCGGCCTCACTCTCTAATCCTTCTCCCCACCCCACCCCAGAAACCCGGACAAGGGCATCCAGTTCCTGATCTCGCGAGGCTTCATCCCCGACACCCCCATTGGAGTGGCCCACTTCCTGCTCCAGCGCAAGGGCCTCAGCCGCCAGATGATCGGAGAGTTCCTGGGCAACAGCAAGAAGCAGTTCAACCGCGACGTGCTGGAGTGAGTGCCCCCCTCCGCCCCGCCCCGCCCGGCCCGGCCCAACAGCTGCGGAAGGACGGGGCCTCCCAGTCTCGCGGTCCCAGAAGCCCCCTGCTATGTGGGTGCCCTGAAGGGAGGCCTGGAGGAAATGACAGACGAAGAGAAAGATCAAGTTTTGTCTGTCTCCTGTTTTCCCTCCATCTGGTTCATCTCTCTGGCTTTGCTTGCCCCCTTTCCATCGGTGGGGGAGAGTGGAGGTACTGTGCCCCATGGCTTCATTCCTTCTGACCGCCCCACACCCCCTGCTTTGTCTCTCTGCTCTGGGGCAGGGGTGAGGCTTCACTCACAGGCCCTGACTGTGCTGCGTGTTCTCATCCGCCTTCCCGGCCCCATGTGGCCTGGCCCTGGAATTCTCACCTGCTAGGCTCCCACTGACCCACAGTGCTGTGAACACAGGGCTTTTCTCTAGCCCAGGTTGTGCTGAGCAGCACAATGAAAGCTAATTGCCATCCTCCCTGGGAGGCGGAGTGTGTGGGCTGGAGACTCAGACCTGCCGCTGCAGCCCTGCAGGGAGCGTGGCTGGGCTGGGGGCTGGGCTGACAGTGGTGGCTGGACCAGGCTTGGATGAGGAGGCCTTGTGGCAGGCAGGAGAGGTGGCTTGACCTGAGAGGCCCGGCTCAGACACCTGCTCTGCTCCTAACATGCTCTGGAGCTTTTGCAAGTCACTTCCACTCTAGGCCTTGGCTTCCTCACCTGTAAAGTGAGAGGGCTGGGCTGTGTGATTTCAAAGGCCCTTCCCACTCCTGTGCATCTGTCATCTTTCCCAGTCCTTAGTGCACCATGGCATCATGCAGGATCATTTGCCCTAAGCATGCTTTCCCATGTAGCCAGGGCCGCCCATAGAGGCTTGCAGGCTGGGCAGTGGTGGGGAGCCAGCGTCCACGAGAGAACAGAGGGCCATTCACCGCTCATTCAACAACTATTGAGTGTCTACCGTTTGCTGGGAACGGGGCTGAGCTGGGCATCCTGTCTGTGGACGTGTGTGGAATGGGGGGAGTAACAGGCCTGGCCTCAGGGAAGTTATAGACCCAGGTGTCAATGAGGAGAGAGGAGGGGAGGAGCAGGAAAGAGAGGTGAGGGGCCAAGGAGTCTTGAGTGGGCACCGTGGGCTTAGGGAGGGGGAGTGCAGAGCCTCGCCTCGCCTCTGCCCCGTGAACGCCTCGGTCCCTCGTGCTTTGTTCTGCAGGCCCTGGCACACTCAGCCTGCACGGGGTAGCTCCAGAGAGAGGAGCCCCCACCCCCCACGTCCGCAGGGTGCTGGCTGCCTGGCTGGTCGATTGCCAAATGCGAGGAGAAGATGGAGACGCGGAAGAGGCGGACACTAGCAGGGCAGCCAGACACTGGGCGGGCTGGCATCTCCCTGCCACTCAAGCCAGCTCCCTGGGAACCTTTCAGGATCCACTGCCTCTTCCTTACTCCCACTAGAGAAAACACACAATGACAGTCCCCAGTGCCATTTGTCCAGGCCTGGAAGGCTTCACTGGGATTCTGCATGGCACCCCCACCCCCGCCAGTGACATTCAGCCTGTCGCATCCATTCTGTACAAAGCTATTTGCTGGATAAAAGGACATAAATCACCCATCCCCTTGGAGACTGAGACAGCCCAAGCCACACACTCTCCAAGACGCAGCCAGACAGGAAGGGGAGAGGCGGAAAGCCTCGGGGAGGGGAAAGGCTGGGCCCCCGCTCCTGGGCCTGTGGGGGACGAAGAGAGGAGGGGCCAAGCAGAATCTGCCCTGGCCGCTGACCCGTGTCTGAGCATCGCAGATGCAGTGACATTTGCCTCCAGACTCAGGCCCTCGGTGCTCTGCGAGGCCAACCTCCCCGTCCCTTTGTGTCAATGTTCCATGGAAGACCCAGTCCAGGAAGGAGCGTCTCCAACCAGCCTTCATCAAATAGTAATAGAAGGCGTTCTGAACGTGGAGGGCCATGTCTGTTCCAGTGTTTACTTGGGAAGGTGGTTTCTTTTTTTCTCTAGGAGAAACCAGTCTCAGTTTCCTCATTTGTCAGAAGGGGATAATAGAACCAGTCAAATGAATTAAATTTTTTAAATGCATGTAAATTGCTTAACTCAGTGCCTGGTGCTTACTTAGGAAGTTCTTTTCAAAATGTCAGCTATTTCTAGCGTTACTTTCCCACGTAAAATCACAGGGCATTAGACACCCCCCACCTCCCACCCCACCCCCAACACAGGAGCCCTCAGACCCCTCAGGGCTGGTGTGAGTTCACTCCCCAGACCACAGGAGCCACTGGGGAAGCGGGGGAGCTCACTGGGAAGTCCTCTCTGGTGCTGAGGAGGGAGGGCCAGACAGCAGCCGGATTGGGATCGGGACCCCCTGGGGCTGGAGGCGTCCCCGTCTCAGGCTTCACATGGCTGGGAAATTTGGCTTCGCTCTATTTCCTTTCTGAAATGCTCGCTTCAGCAGGTTT